GTGTATGCTGTCACATGCTCGTTTGGGTCCGAGGTCCCATTATACTTCGGGATATCGGGCATTCTAAATTTCTTAGGGATAGGTTTTGGGGCGGCACTGGATGGGAACGGTTTTTGTACAAACTTTTTAGCGTCAAGGCCCTTCAGGACCGGAGGTGCACCTGGTATTTGGTCGACCCTGGAGTTGTATGTTTCTACTTTTTTATTGTTGGCCTCGATTTTTTCCTCCCCCTTTTCGATTCGTTCGGTCAGTTCTTCTAGCCTCCTAAGAACCGCAGAATCAGCATCCGGCCCACCCCGTTCCGGCTGTACTGGGGTTGGATTGATGATTGCAGCTGCACGGGGCTCCTGGACCCGGCTCTGGAGCTGAGCTATAGCCGATTGCTGGGCTTGCAGCATGTCAAAAATCATTTTAAGGTTGATAGTCTCTTCGCCGACTGCCTGGGCCCTCGAATCGTCCTCTCCCTGGACGCTATGCGATGATCCGGAGGCCTGATCAGTGTTGAGCGCCATCCGGGAACCGGCATCTAACGGGTTTTCGAGCCCGGGCATTCCATTGTTTCCCGTCTGCTGTTCAAGTTCGTTGTTAATTGATTGTGCCATTCTATGAGTTGGTAATTTGAATGTAAGATGGACTCTTTTGCAAAGAACCAGTGTATTGTGATGCGTCAAGAAAGAGTATCAAAGAGCTCACCAATATCCTTAGCCCCACGGTGGGCGCCAAACTGTTTACCCTCGAATCCGGATAACAATTGAATTTATATGGGGTTTTAAGGATCCGTGAACTAAAAGATACAAAAGGTTTTTAGGTTAAGGAAAATAAAGATAAAGACTCAACAATTGCTGTTAAAGTAAATAATTGCAGAATATAATATTGCTTAGAACAATTGTGCTTGATCATCCACAAGAATTTAGAGAGATACCCATTTATACATTCTGATTAAGGGTAAAAATAAGGTAGGTAAATTGATTACATCGTGGATCCCTGTAATTACGCCTTAATGGCCTGAAGTGGTTGAGAAAATCACGTTTGGGCGAGATATCCGGCGACGCTTGGTTATCCGTTACGAGCCCGGCTTCCGACCTTGTGTGTTTCTCCATCCGGTGGTGATTCCTTTCGAGCTCTGTAACGGTCTCGAAATGACTCGACCTCGGTTGTAGACGTGGCCGTCGTTCTACCTTGCATCCAGGTCGGGTTCGATGGCCCCGACTTGCTCCGGACCGGATCCAACCCGGTCGGGCTCAAGCAAAAAAAAAGGGTATCACCCAATACAACTATTAAAATTCTCTTTCAAGTGTTTTGCCAAACAATTGCAGGTTATAATATGTGAATATGATGTTCACATCGATATTTTATTTTATGTAATCATACTTTCAATCAGCAAACCCGTCACACTATCACCAAACTATTATATTCACACAACAAAATAGATTTAGTTTTTAAATCCTAAACTCCCATTTCCTCTACGGTTGCGATCACTTTCTCCTTTCTAATAAGCATTAGCATGCTTACTTATTTATTTTTCACATTCCTCTACCTAGCTACATATATTATTTTAATATTTGGTGCAAAAAGCCAAACAAATATATATGTTTGTTGGAAGACTTCTCGCTGAATTCACTTAAAATATACTTTTCATATTTTTAGTTTGTTTAGACTTTTTCTTTCATAAAAAGATAATATCCGGATGCATCAAAATATAGAATTAGTTGTGTGGTTATGTACTTGGACAGAAAAAAGGGAGTAAATTTTAATCAAAAGGCTTAAGCAATATTAAAACATCGTAGATAAACAAATATGACCTTCAAAATAAAGTACTTCATATTAGATAAAAACTTGAAAGTAAAGTTCCACATGAACTTATGCATGTAACTATAGAATATGTCAATTATTGGATTTGAGTTTAGCAATGGAACGAAAATATTAATTTTAATATTAACTCATTTATTCCTGAACACAATAAAAATGTATTTCAAGAGCAACAAACAATAAGTCATTACCCTACCATTTACATCGATTGTGTTTTAGAAAAATTCAAAGATAGAAATTGATAATCAAATAACATGTGAAGTTAAAACGTTACACGATTTCTTGTCATGCTTTCTTGATTCATCACTCAAAATCTATCTAATTTTCTTTGCCCACAACACAAGTTTTGTAGACCAGTGCATACATGTCTTCTATTCCTCTTCTTCGATTTCAAACTGATAAATAATGCTAACAGGTACAATAAAAAACAACCATCATATTCAAGGCAAACATAGAAGGTGCCTTTCAATTTGTTGCAAAGATAACCACTATGATTTATCAATTATAATCTTGATAGTGTATTGAATTATGACTTATGTAAGTCTCATGTTCAAAGGATCCGTAGTATGAGTGTTGCTAAAAAGATGTGTTAATACTCAGTAGAATGACAAAGCCATTGTATTTCTTCTTGTTCAGAATAAGTTAATCAGCATTTTGTGGCAACTCTTCGAAATTAGGAATCTTTAAAATAATGAGGTACTTAAGTAAATAGGATGGGTATTTTAGTTAATTAGGGTATTTAGATAAATCAGAAGGATAATTTTGTAATTTAACTTTTAAGTTAAGGGCTTGCCACTTTTATAATAACTAGTTTCTCGGCACGTGCATCGCACGTGTATGCCAAGTTATATATACATGATTTTGTAAAATAATATATTAATATTATTAAACTAAAGATTTGAATATATATATATATATATATATATATATATATATATATATATATA